ATTGACCTCTCTTCACTCCCCTTTTTGGTTCCCTTTATCTAGCCTAAATGCTGGGGTTCCTCAGGGCTTGGCCCCAAGACATCTCTCTTAGGCTCTCTCCCTAAGTGACTGCCTCAGTTCCCATGGATTTATATATCATCTTTATGCTTAAGGTTCCCAACTTTTTGTCTCCAGCCTTGACCTCTTCCCTGATTTCCAGATTTGGATATCCATAGTGCCTAGCTGACATATCCTCTTAGGTGTTGCACAAACATCTCAAATTGAACACACTCATAAGAATGCCCTTGATTTTTGCCTCCAGACCCGATCCTCTCCACTGCAAGTGTCCCCAAACTTCCTCATCTCAATACAGTGCCTCCACCATCTACTCAGGGTTCCAAGAAGGAAATCTAGGTGTCATCTTGATTTACCCTCTCCTCATTCCGTAATTTCATTAGCAAGTTGTGTCAATGCTATGTCCAAAATATACCTTGATTCTGCCTCTTTTCTCCATTGCTGCTGCTATGCCCTTAGTAGAGGCCGCTATTTCTCACCTGCAGTCCTACAAAAGCCTACCTGGTTTCACTTCCCCTATCGCTTCCCCTCTAATCCATTTTCCATACAACTGAGTGACCTTAACACATAAAGTGGGACATGTCCTTCTCCTGCTTTAAATACTTCCCAGAGTACCTAGAATAAAATCCAAACCTCCTGATACCTTGCTAGGCCTTAAGTGATTGTAACCGGCCACCCTGACCTTACTTTGTGCCACTCTCCTCTTTACTCATTGTTCTCTAGGATCTTTTCCACACATTCAGAAATCTTTTATGGTGTATCTCATATGTGCCAGGCAATGTATGAGGTGCTAAAAGTAGACAGGAAAGAAAAAAGACCCCATCCGCATAGAACTCATATCCTAGTGGGAGAAGCAGATAATAAGCAAGTACATAAATATCTTAAGGCAACTGTAATTACTTCCTAGAGGAGAAGCTGCTCTCTCTTCACATGGCTACCTTCTTATTGCTTGGGTCTCCGCTTCTTCCACTTCCTCAGAGGCCTCTCCTGGTCACCCTATCTAAAGAAGTTACCTCCTGTCTTCCATTCTCTCTCTTTGGCACTAAATGCACTTTCCAACATTTGTAGTTATCTTGTCTGTTTTTTTTTTGGGTCTTGATCAGTTTCAGTAAAAATTTACAGAATGAATTAGACTCTTTTGTAAATCAACTGTTTCCGTTGTCTTTCCTCTTCAACCCTATTAATTCCAGGGGACAGAGGAAACCTTGTCTCTTCAACAGGTACACTGTGTAACTATCTAAAGCAGCAACTCTCAAAGTATGGTATAGGGACCCCGAGACCCTTCAGGAGGCTCGTAAGTTCAAAACTTTACATAATATCAAGATGTTTTTCTGACTTCTTTACTCTCCTCTCACAAGTATAGAGTGAAGTTTTTCAGAGGATACACAACTTGGATATTGTAACAGATTGAATGAAGAAACAAAACAGAGCTGTCTTCTCAAGACAGACATTAAAGAGATTTGAAAAAACATAATACCACACTTACTACTAAATCTTTTGTTTTTGAAAAGTTATCTTTCATAAAAATGTTACTAAACATGTAATTTTTTTATTTAAAAAACGAGTGATTTTAAAAATCTCTTGGTTTTAGGTCTAACCCAGGGGAGGGTAACATTTTTCAAAACATTCAGGAGACAAGGGGGAAACGTACTACTGTAATCCTCACCTGTAACTCAGGGAAGTTTGTTCTAGAAAGTTCCCTCCCATCTTCTCCATGGCCTGGCTTCTGAGGATGATTCTGATCTTCCCTGAAAAACCAGATCCATGCCAGGCCCTTAGCCCCAAGTTATCCTTGGATCTGCCCAACATGCCCAGAAACAAGAGCTTAAGACTGATAGCGAAATTTCACATAGGAAAGAGGAAGGGAAAATACGAGTCAAAGGGACTACAAGTTACAAGAGGAAGGAGGATGGTTCAACAGATGAGGTGAAGGAGTGATAGGGAAACCAGAGGCAAAATATTTACTGCAACAGCTATGACTCCAGACCTGGCGATCCTGTGGGGAACCCAAATTCACCCCACACACATACCTGATATGCACCTTTGTATAGCCAACAACAGAAAGTGTCTGTGGCAGAAAAAAAAAAAGTGTTGGTTTTTAACTTCTATATGGAAAATAACTAACTATGTATGTATATATATAAAACCAATACAGGGGCACCTGGGTGGCTCAGTTAGTTAAGCATCTGCCTTCGGCTCAGGGGTCATCATCCCAGGGTCCTGGGATTGAGCCCCATGTTGGGCTTCCTGCTCAGTGGAGAGCCTGCTTCTCCCTCTCCCTCTGTCTCTCCCCACCCCCACTCATGTTTGCTCTGTCTCGTTCTATCTCAAATAAATAAAATCTAAAACCCCCCCCCACAAAACCCAATATAAATAAAAGCTCTTTAGGTTCTCAATAATTTTTAAGAGTGTAAAAGAGTCCTGAGACTAAAATGTTTGAGGATCTTGGTAAATCCTGGCTATAAATGGAGAAGGAAATCAAAAGCCAGACGCATGTATCACTGGCCTCAAGAGAAACATACAGAAATGCCTCCACCCCCGTTTTTTCCCATAAAGACCTCTGCAAATATGATTTCTGGAGACCCATGGAGTGTCTCCTGTTTCACTGTAATGTTCTTCAAAGGGCAGGGAATAGAATGGACAATGTGAATTTAAATGAAATAATGCAAATAAAGTGTTTAGAATAGTAAGCAATCAAGAAAAATTGTTTACAAAAAAAGCATATGAGTATTAGTTCAAAATTCACAGTCAGTTCTTGGATAAATTATTTAACTTCTCTGAATCTATTTCTGTTTCTACATGTAGAACACAACAGAGGCTAGATTACTCTGCATATTGCAACTACTCAGGGAGTTATGGTGAGGTTACAATCTAAAATGAGATAAAGAATTAAAGCAAACAGTGGTATTGTTATAAATGTTACATGGTTACTCACTGTTACTTTAGAAATCCTGGCATTTTCCCACAGAATTTATTTTGTGCTGATACATTTTTTATTTTATTTTTTGATACATTTTTTTTAATCTTTAAAAGCTCTTCCACATATAACAGCTTTGTGCTGACAAGTATGTTGTGTCCTCCCAAGACTTTCACAGTATTATATATAGGAATTTATTTCTATCTGTATATTTGGCTCTTTCCTTTGGACAGTATCAGACATATAGATAGGCAAAATTATAGTTTGACATAATCCCTTCCTTTACTGGTAGAAGTGCAAATGTTTTAGAGCGAGAGAGAGCACAAGCAGGGAGAGGGGCAGTGGGAGAGGGAGAAACAGGCTCCCTGCTCGCCTGGGGTGGAGCTTGATCCCAGAACCCTGGGATCACGACCTGAGCCAACAGCAGATGCTTAACTGACTGGGCCACCCAGGTGCCCCTCATGTTTTTAAAATATTTGGACACTGCAAAGATAATTGGTAAGTGTATGAAAAGATCATCAAGATGTTCATCAAAAATATCTTAAGTTGTTACTCTAGGTGGTAGAATATAGGATGTTTTAGATTTTCTTCTTTTGCAATTTTTTTTTTTTTTTTATTTTAAAAAGATTTGAGGGAGAGAGAAAGGAGGTGCATGTGCATGCTGAGCAGGGGAAGGGGCAGAGGGAGGAGGAGAAAGAGAATCTCAAGCAGACTCCCCACTGAGCTCGGAGCCTAACACGGGGCTCAGTCTCACAGCCCTTGAGATCATGACCTGAGTCGAAATCAAGAGTTGGATGATTTAACCGACTGAGCCACCCAAGCACCCCTTTCTTTTGCAATTTTAATTTTATAATGAATGTGTATCATTTTCTAATTAGAAGAATGTTGAAGCTATTTTTACCTTGAAAAAGTAAAACACAAGAAAAGTTAATTGGCAAACCCTCCCCAAATTCAGAAGAAAAAAACTTGTCACATTAGGATGCAAGACAATTTGGAGAACATTTCATTAGGCAACAGAGCACCTTTGGTGACAATTTCAAATTTGATATGTTTGGGGGAAAAAACATGCAAAGCTGACTAATAAAGCCAGAAGCAGTGGTATTCCTTTCCTTCTTTATTGTGTTTCTAAAGAAATCACAAAATATGCAAAAGATGTACTTACTGGCCATTGTTCTTTAGAATACAAAGACTTATTTTTTCTTCCATGCAATGCACTTGACACTGACTGAACACCTATGATCAGGTACTGTTCTGGGGCCTGGGACATAATGGTGACTAACAGCGTCTCTGCTCTCACAATACTTAACTAATCTACTGGAAAAAGCAGTCAAGTAAGTAAATTATAACATAGACATGGAAGAAAAGAAAACTCTTGAATAAATCCTTTTGACATTTTATTCTACAGGTTTCATTAATCTACTTCAAGGGTTGACATTTTCTGTAAAGAGCCAGACAGTAAATATTTTAAAGTTTGTGGGCCACAGAATCTCTGTTCCAACTACTCACTGCCATTACAGTGTGAAAACAGCCACAAACAATACAGATACCAGTAAGCCTGGCTATATTCTAATTAAATTTTATTTACAAAAATAGGAATGGCATAGAACTGACACACTGGCTAGAGTTTCCCAGTGCCTGATCTAGTTTAAAGAGCTAATAGTAACTATGAAATAAAATCCTAAAGCACTTTCCAAAGCACAAATGAAAGCAGTTCGACTAGTTCAGATGCTACTTTCCTATTTTCTGAAAACATTTAATTTATATTTATTTATTTGATTTCAAAGTTTTTATAACTGGAAAAGAACCTAAAAAATAACTAAGTACTCAGCCTTAATCAAAAGGGTATGACTTTGAGTCTGCTTCTTTGTGGACTCAGAATCATATCTGAATTCTTTTTGATTCTGTCAATCTGGTACAGAATAATCATGAAAAAATGTAAGTTTGGCTTCTGTGTCTTTAGAAATAGACTATTACTGCCACCTAGCTCCATAAAAATAAACTATAATGAATAAAGCACATCCACAAAGCCTGAACAAGATAAAAACAGCACAAGTTTTAATTTTAACACTGGGTAAAGATATTTCCTCTTCTCCAGTTTTCTGGGAACCAAGGAGAGAAATGAGAAAAATCCTCTCTTGATAATAGAACCTGATATGCACTGCTCACCATCCAGCTCTTTTCAATATACACAGATTAGTTGTCTTGTTTTAGCTAGTGAATAAGCTTTACATTAGTAATCCACTGAGTATCTCAATGCACTAGTGAGTGTTCTCTGATGAACAGAATGTGGCTAGCCCGCTCTTCAAAATAAAGAAGACCTTTTAATTTCAAAAGATAATATGTGTTTGTTGGAAAAAAATCACACCAAACAAAATTGTAAAAAGGAAAAGTGAAAGTGCCACCCTATATTTCTGTCCACAAAAAGGCCACTGTTACAAGTTTGGTAGGCAGCCTTCTAGACTTTTGTTTTCTATGCTTGTCACACACATATCTATACACAATTGTTGAGTTTATGAATTTACTTTTTTCTTTTAAGCAAAAATGGTATCTTACTTTTCACATGGTTCTCCAATTTTCTTCATTTAATATCAAAAACTTGTAAATTGTTCCTAGCTTATATTTAATAAGAATTAAGACTTGTTCAAATTTGAAGTTATAGAACAAAAATTTTTTAAAAACACACTTAAATTTCCAGTAAAATTTCCTTCAATGCACTCAATTTAATTCTAAATAGCTTCATGATAGAAGTTCCTTATATTTCCCACTTTAATAAAGGACCTTATATTCCCCATCCTAAATGGAAAACAAAAAAAGGTTGCAACACTTACCAATATATTGTATTTTAATAGAAACATATACGATTCATTCAAAAAGTATTTTAATATAAACATCACTTGTAAACAAAACCAAGTAATATTGATAGTCTAGTTCCAAAAAATTCCTGGTTTCTCTAGAACACTAAGATGCCACTTCAATAGTAATTGCTTCACATTTTCCAGTCTCTTGATCTGTGCACGTCACATGTAAAGATCCATCCCTAAACAAACAAACAATAACATTTCATAAGCTCATTTCATAAAAGCAGAAAGTTCTTAAGAAATTATTTGAGGACTTTGAGTAACAAGATAATTTTAATTTTTGAAAGGAGAGTATTAAGATAAAGAAGAAACACAATTTCAGTGTCTAAACTTGTGTCATATGCTATAATTAGGTAGCTATTCTTAAAAATTTCCTAGACTACTGACACAAAAGTTGTATTCCTTGAAAACCAGGATGATCAAGATCTCAAGTTTAAGACCTTATGCACACTGAAGATGCATCATGCCATCTTCAAGCCTAGGCCAAGGCAAACCTACTCTAATGAATTTGACATTCTTGCTAAGTATGGTTATGGAATGAATTGTCCCTAAAGTTAATTTGGAAATGATTTACTTGCAAGACATAGTCTTATAGATGGCCAGTTATTAGTGGAGTGGTGATAGCTGGATTTAATTAGTAATCTATTTCCTAAAGATTTTCTGTAGCAATACTGAACTAAACTTATCCTTTCATAGGACAAATAATATCAGTTATGTAAACCTTAGAAGATTTTATTTAAGATTGATAAAAATTATATCTCAAACTTCATGGACCAGTTTTTTAGGCGGACCACACCAAAATAATTAGAGTTCATAAAAATTCAGAATGCAAATGATTTGGGATACACTTTCTTTGCAAAATACAGCAATTTTGTACGGCAAAAAATGTAACTCACTGATAAAATCTTTGCAAGCTTTAATACACGATTTTACTAGAATGGCAATGTCTGAAGAAATCAATAAACTGACAAAAAAGGTCAAGCTTCACAGTGAATTTTCTGAACATCAGAAGTAGTTTAATTTTGTACCTTTTCATAGTAAGAACAGCTAATATATCACGTAATCCATTTTCTTTTTTATCTAGATCCTGGAGTACAACCTGTTTATGCAAAAATAATATAAAGATGATTCAGTATTTTGATATATTAATAAACTGATGCAACAGTTATTCCAATGCACCAAATCTTACTTATTACTGAAACAAATCTTTTAAAATAGGGCAGTTTTCAGAGACTAGGATTAAGCTTTCTTAATGGAAATGTCTCCTCTAGAAGGAGAGCATATAACTAAGAGATCTGTTCCTCTTAAACATATTGTAGATTATGAAGTATACTTTGTCTCAGAAAATAAAGACTGCTTTTCTTTTTGGTAATTAAGCCATTACCATTAACATGTAAATTTCATTTTGGCATATACTTCTAGATATACTTTTAAAAACTCTTAATATTTTAAATACACTTGGAAAACCAATTTAAAGAAACACATGATGACAAATTCTTTTGTACAACTAAGATTACATTTGTACGTAAGAGATACCAATGAGGGGTGCCTGGGTGGCTCAGTCGTTAAGCGTCTGCCTTCAGCGCAGGTCATGATCCCAGGGTCCTGGGAAGTGACTTTTCAGATTTTGCCAATATCAAGTCCCAGGATCCGGGGAAGTGACTTTTCAGATTTTGCCAGTATCAAGTCTTATGATCTTAGGCAAGCACTAAGTACGTTGGTTTACACATTTGTAAAACACAGAGATTAGAACAGATGGGATCTCTAAAAGAGTATTTTCCAAATTCAGTATTAGGTGACTAACTCTTCTCCTTCTGGCACCTGTAAGGATATGGTGACAGTAGCTGCAGAGTTTTGGAGTAGTGTATGAAGAGAAAAGGTGACAAATGTACAAGAGAAAGAAGCTAAGGGAATGCTAAGGCAGCCAAGTGAGTTTAGGAAGAGAGTACACAAAAAAGTGCTTATATAGTAATCCACAACAGAAACATCTGGAGGAGCTTTTGAAAACTTTACTATTTGAAGGAGCCCTATTCCCCTAGATTCTAAGATGTTTGAGGTGGAGCCCAGATAGGTTTTATATGTGTGTTTTCATTATTCTTTTGTTGAATTAGAAAACAGATATAAAGCTGAAGATACTATGCATTCCCTTTGGTGACCTACATTTGTTTTATTTTCACTATAAAAGTATTTCATGCTCATGTCCTGTGCTCTTTGTTAGAAATTCAGTACAAAGTGTTAAAAAGTAAAAACAAAACAAAACAACAAAAAAAAAACCCCCAAAAAACCCTCTTGGTACCTTCAAATCAACCCAATGTTAAGTTTTCTAAATATAGTGCTAATACCTATAAATATTTTCTGTATCCATGCATGGATATTTATATACACACAGCTACCCAAACACTACCTCCCTCACACACACCCATGCTCTTCAAACTTTTTATTTAAACACAAATGACATCATACTGTAAATATGGCTCTGTAGTCCCTGTATATGTGTTTTAATGTAATTATATTTCTTGGGCATGTTTCTAAGCAAATAAAGTGGCTCCACCTCATTCCTTTTAAAGGATGCAGAGGACTCTATAGTATGAAATAGAAATGTGGTATTTTGAAAAAGTAAAGGTATCCTGTATGAGAGGTGGCAAGGGCCCAGGAGTAAAACCAACTGAAGATAAATCTTAGCTCAAGGAAAATAAGGTATTTACTACCATGAGCCTGTTTCTCAATTATCTATGAAATGAACATAATACTGTCTATCTCATGGCATTTTGAGATATTTGTAAGTTGCCTGGTACAGCACCTGGCATACAACAAACCAAAAAATGTCATTTTCCCCGCCACTTACATTTTACCAAGGAGGGTAGAGAGCACAAAGAGAAAAAATACATATTGTATTTTGTTTTTATTTTCCTGTAACGCTTTCAAATTAAAATTGCTTATTTCTTTTCTCTTTTAAAAGTAAGAAGTAATCCATTCATAAAAATGTGTTAGATAGATGTCTTATATACATTTATATTAATTGACATTAAACTGAGTCTAATGAAGAAGGAAAAGCTTCAGTTTCACATGACTAGTTCATTGCCCAAATTTATGTATTCACCTGTGCAAACTTGTCTTCTTCTTTTGCAGAGTTTTTCCCCTCAGACTCATAGAGTTCAAGGCATACTGAAGATATACTTGCGGGGGCTTGTAATGTGTGTTGTCTTCGAGCTGGCAAAGGAGTCCCTGATGGGAACAGTACTGTGAAACTGTTGGCTCCTGATTCATCGACTCCCTAATAAGCAGAAAAATAATATGCATATCCTTTGATATCTATCATTACAAAGTCACTCCTATAATAAATATACTTAATCCTTATTGATAATCTAAAAACTACAGATAGGCAAAGAGAAGAAAACAGAAGTGATCCTTAATCCCAACCTACTTCATTTAAAAATAAATTGAAACATGTATCTATCTCTTTGAAGCTTATGATTAAAATTATAAGAAATTAACATGTTAGATAAATACTAACTGAAAGAAAATGAGAAACTCATTAAATGTAAAATTATAAATCTAAATTTAAAATTTTTATCAATATACAAAGTTTCACTATAAAACCATGGTATGTATAAGAACTTATGGCAATAAGCTTATGCTACTTTTATGGAGAAGTAAAGAAAAGCTAAGCCTACCTTAACTAAAATATCTTTGGCTGAACACTCTATCTTAAGGGAGTCTTCCACTAAAAGGTTTTCTTTCCCAATAAGAATCCCTGCTTCTATAGCTGCACCAATAGGGATGACCTCATCAGGAGGGATAGAATTCAGAAGCTCAACAGTTGGGAAAAGATCTTTAATTAGTTGCTGTAGCCTTGGGATTCGAGAAGACCCTCCACAAAGGACGACCTAGGAAATAAAAATAATTTTCAGTTTTTTACTTTTAGAACAATGGCCATTTCTCAAAATTAAGTGTTATAAGTTCAGCCATCCTTACCACATGTAATGGTAAAATATAGGGAGCCCTATTTTAACATATTATTTTATGTCATACTTACCATATATATATAAATATATATTTAACACATTTTAAGTAACATATTCTTTACTCATAAAAACAAAATTTAAAATGAAGAGATCTCACCACACAGTACAAAATACAATATAGCCACAATGTGGCTTGTGATTAATACTGGGCATAGGAGGCTTAACCATAAATAGGCATTTGAATAGGAAATAATATATTAATACTTTATCCTATTCCAACACTTGTAAAAGAAATGATTACATAAATCGTACAGCATTTTTGTGACAAAATGAATAAAAGCAATCTATGTGAAAACTATGCCACAGATTTTTGTCTTTACCATGGAAGAACACTGAATTTTCTGAAAAAGATGTTTTGCAAAACTACATTTTAAGCTCTTGGTCCATCTGATTAAATATGCTGTCTCTGAAGAATTTCATATAAAATTGCTCCTTTATGAGCTTGTCTGCACAAGTGCCCCAGCATTTATGGCTGCCACCTGAGGGAATGGGGCTCTAAATCACCTAGCTCTGATGATCAAAGGGATTGGCATTCATGAGTCCCATAGGACTATCAGAAACAAAGAGGCAGTTTTTAAATGGTTAAGGAGCATCCCCTGCCCAGTGGCTATACACCTGGTCTCAGCATAGAGGGAGCCAGGCAAAGATGCCCATTTCCCAGTTTATCCCTGGAAGAGGTTTGACTGCATACTTTCCCAGCTGCTGCTTGAGAGTCTGGCTTCCAATCAGCTTGTATCTAGGTGCCGACTGCAATCCTCCTCTTTGAGACACTGATGGTCTTGGCACACTCTCAACTACTGAGAGCCACTAAGAACAAAGATGTCAGCTTAGGCATAAAGGTTTGAGAGGCAACCAGGAGCTTGAGACTGGGGTGATTGCAAAGTTAATTTCTTATGTAAGACCAGTGTGTCAAGACTGGAAGATGTGGCAGTTATATGTAACGCAAAGAAATCAACATGGAGAGTCAGTCTCTCTCTCTCTATATATATATATTTGTTTGGAATATATATATTTTTGTTTGGATTCCAAACAAAATAACAAAATAAATCCTCAAAAACCGATCTTAATGAGACAAAGATAAGTGATTTTCCCAATACAGTTTAAAGTAACAGTAATAAAGCTGCTTACTGAAGTCAGGAGAGTAATGTGTGAATAAAGTGAGAATTTCAACAAAGAGATAGAAAATATAAAAAACTACCAAACAGAAATCACAGAACTGAAGAATGTAATAACTGAACTGAAAAATCCAGCAGAGAGGTTAAACAGCACATTAGATGAAGCAAAAGAAAGGATTCGTGAACTGAGAGGACAGAGGAATTCATCTAAACAGAGGAGCAAAAAGAAGAAAGAATGAAAAAGAATTAAGATAGCTTAAGGGACTTATGGGACAACAGTAAGTATACTAATATACATATTATAGAGGTCCTAGCAGGAGAAGAGAAAGAAAAAAAGGGGCAGAAAGTATATTAAAAGAAATAATGCCTGAAAACTTACCTAACCTGGGGAAAGAAACGGATATCCAGATCTAGTAAGCCCCAAAATTACCAAGTAAGATGAATAAAGAGACCCACACTGAGACACATTATAATTAAAGAGTCAATGGGGCACATGGGTGGTTCAGTTGGTTAAGCGTCCCTCTTGATTTCAGCTCAGGTCATGATCTCAGGGTCATGAGACTGAGCCCTGCATCAGGCTCATCGCTAGGCGTGGAGTCTGCTTAAGATTTTCTCTCTCCCTTTCCCTCTGCCCACCCTCCTGCCCTCCCCCCAAAAATGTCAAAAGTTAAAGACAGAGAGAATCTTAAAGGCAGCAAGAGAAAAGCAACCTGTTACATACAAGGGACCCTCTCATAAGATGATGAGCAGATATTTCAACAGCAATCTTGCAAACCAGATGTGAGATATCCCTAAGTGCTGAAAGAAAAAACCTGTCAGCCAAGAATACTGTCCTGAAAAACTGATGGAGAGAGAATGTGTTTTACAGACAAATGAAAGCTGATGGGGTTTACCAGACTAGCCTTATAAACAATGTTCAAGGGAGTTCTTCAAGTTGAAACAAAAGGATGCTAAATAATAACCTGAAAACATATGAAACTATAAAACACACTGGTAAAGGTAAATATATACAGCTGACCCTTGAATAATTCAAAGGTCAGGAACACTGATTCCCTGCATAGTTGAAAATCCATGTATAACTTCTGACTACGCCAAAACTTAACTACTAATAACTTACTGTTGACCAGTTATTGTGTTACCAATAACACAATCAATAAACACATTTTACATGTTATATGTGTTATATACTGTATTCTTACAATAAAGTAAGCTTGAGAAAAAAATGTTATTAAGAAAATCATGAAGAGGCGCCTGGATGGCCCAGTCGTTAAGCATTTGCCTTCGGCTCAGGTCATGATCCTGGGGTCCTGGGATCGAGCCCTGCATCAGGCTCCCTACTCAGCGGGAAGCCTGCTTCTCCCTCTCCCACTCCCCCTGCTTGTGTTCCCTCTCTCGCTGTGTCTCTCTCTGTCAAATAAATAAATAAAATCTTAAAAAAAAAAAAAAGGAAAATGAAGAACAGAAAACACATTTACAGCACTTTATTGTATTTATTGATAAAAAATCCATTTATGAGCAGATCTGCTCAATTCAACCTGTGTTGTTCATAGGTCAACTGTAGTTAAATTCAGAATACTCTAATATTGTAATGGCGGGGGGTGAATCACTTATAACTTTAGTATAAAGGTTAAAAGAAAAAAATATTAAAAATAACTAACTACAATAATTAATGAATGAAAACAGAATACAAAAAGATGTAAATTGTGACATCAAAAACAAAGTGTGGAGAGGAGGAGTGTAAAAATGTAGAGCTTCTGTATGTGTTCAAAGTTAAGCTGTTATCAGTCTCAAATAGGCTATTATAACTATAAGATGTTTTACATAAGCTTCATGTAACCATAAAGCAAAAACCAAGAGTAGATACAACAAAAGATAAAGATATCAAAGCACATTACTATACAAAAACACCATCAAAGCACAAAGGAAGAAGGAAGAAAGAAACACATGAACTACAAAACAAAATTAGCAAAATTTGCAAGTTAGCAAAATAAAAATAGCACAGTTGACACACACACACAAAAAAACCACTGGGGGGGAGAGGAAAGGAAGAAGGGAGAAAGGAGGTGGAGAAGTAGACGGGGTAGGGGTTCCCCATTACAGCAGCAGGAGCCAGTAACCCGGGACGCTCACATCTCTCCCCTGCGGGCAGAAGTGGCCCCTTCCTCCCAGGGTCACTGCCCTGTCCCACCTTGGCTCCCCCAAGCCTCTTGGGAGGTGGACAGTGAGAGTAAGTTCATACTTAACAAAAATTACTTTAAATTATTTTCTGTACACTAACAACAAATTAGAAAGAGAAATTAAGAAGACAATATATTCACAATAGCAATAAAAAGAATAAAATACTTAGGAATAAATTTAACCAAGGAGGTGAACAATGTATACACTGAAAACTATAAACATATTGATGAAAGAAATTGAAGAAGACATGAATAAGTTGAAAGATATTCCATGTTCATGGATTGGAAGAATTAATATTGTTAAAACGCTACCCAAAGTGATCTACACATTCAATGCAATCCTATCAAAATTCCAATGGCATTTTCCATAGAAGTAGAAAAGACAACCCTAAAATCCATATGGAACCACAGAAGACCCAAAATAGCCAAAGCAATCCTGAGAAAGAAGAAAGTTGGAGCATCACACTTCCTGATTTCAGAATATATTACAAAGCTAGAGTAATCAGAACAGAATGGTATTGACATAGAAGCAGACACACAGATCAACAGAACAGAGAGGCCAGAAAAAAGCCCACACATAAATGGTCAATTAATTTTCAACAAAGGAACCAAGAATATACAACAGGGAAAGGGCAGTCTCCTTAGTAAGTGGTGTGGGGAAAAGTGGATATTCACAGGCAAAAGAATAAAACTGTACCATTATGTTATACCATATACAAAAATCAACTCAAATTGAAGACTTGAATTAAGACCTGAAACTGTAAAACTCGAAGAAAACAAAGGATTGCAAGCTCCTTGACATTGGTCTTAGTAGTGATTTTTTGGATTTGACACCTGAAGCAAAGACAATAAAACCAAAAATAAATAACATCAAACTAAAAAGCTACTGAATAACAAAGGAAACCATCAAGAAAATGAAAAGGCAACCTGTAAAAAGGGATAAAATATTTGCAAACCACATATCTGAAAAGGGGTTAATATGCAAAATATACAAGGAAGCCATAAACTCAAAAGCAAAAAACCAAACAACGTAATTAAAAAATGGATGAAGGACTTAAACATTTTTTCTGAAGAAGTGGTGGCTAACAGACACATGAAAAGATGCTCAACATCACTAATCATAAGGCAAATGCAAATCAAAACCACAATGAGATATCGCCTCACACTCGTTAAGGTGGCTCTCATCAAAAACACAAGAGATAACACGTATTGGCAAAAATACAGACATAAGGGAATGTATACTGCTGGGAATGTAAAATGATAGAGCCACTGTGGAAAACAGTATGGAAATTCCTCAAGAAATTAAAAATAGAATTGCCATATGATCCAGCAATCCCACTTCTGAGTATATATTCAAAGGAAATGAAGTCACTATCTCAAAGAGATATGTGTGTACTCTCATGCTCATTACGGCATTATTCACAATACCCAACACATGGAAATATCCTGTGTCTGTGAATAAAGATGTGGCATATATACAAACACAATGCAGTATTATTCAGTCTTAAAAAAGAAGGAAATCCTGTCATTTGCAACAACATGAATGAATCTGGAAGGCATTACGCGAGGT